AACACCTCTACAAGAAAAAGACAAATAACCCAATTTTAAAAATGGGCACGTGATAGACGTTTAACCTTTTCAGGGGCTAACAAATGATCAAGAACAGAAGGTATTGAATGAAAAAGTCCAAATTATACTGAATTTTTGCATTAGCAAAACATAAGGCTCCAGGAACTGTTGGACTACTGATTGAAATGTTTCAGCAAACTGATTACAGTACTGCCCACTGACTAGAAGAGATCCATATTTGTGCTCAAAGAAAGTTGACTCTACAGAATGGGGAAATTATTGAATAATAGAATTAATATCACATGCAAGTAAGATTTTTCTGAAGATAATTTAAAAAACAGTTGCAGTAGCTCATAGACAAGGATCTGCCAGAAATTCAAGCCAGATTCAGAATAGAACATGGACTGACGGATATCATTGCTAACATCAAATGGAAATTAGCTAAAAGCAGAGAATACAAGAAAGATGTTTCTTCATATCTTATTGACTCTGCAAAGGCATTCAACTGTGTGTCTTGTAACAGGTTAAGGATAACATTGCAAATAATAGGTATTCCTGAGTACTTATTTGTGCTCATGAGGAAGCTGTTCACAGACCAAGAGGCAGCCATTCGAACAGAACGAAGGGATACTGAGTTATTTAAAATCAAGAAAGGTTGTGTGTCAGGATTGTATCCTTTCACCATACTTCATGTGTTGACATAGTGGCTGCAACAATGGGCTCAAAAATAACAACTGTGAGGATGCCACAAGACCAGGCAGTGGTTTATTCTACTGTGCTGAGGGGTGGAGATGAGTTGAAACTTACTCAGTAGCACCTAACAATAACAACAATGGCTTGCTGTGAGTCTAAATCAACTCAACAGCAACAGATTTGGCTTACCATTTACCAAGAAGAGTCCTGGTATGTTGTGGGTTTATGCGTTGGCCTGCAAAGTCCATTTGGAAGTTCTGTGGTTCAAGCTCACCAATCACTCCTTGGAAACCCTATACAGGATCGCTATGGATCAGAACCGACTCACCGACACTTAACAACAACAATCATTTACCAAGTACTTTCACTCCCTTCTATCTCCACAACTACAGATGAGAAGGCTGAGGCCATGTTAGCTCTCTCAAATTCTCACAACTCTGGTCAAGTTGGAATTCCAGCTGGGACCGAGGATTCTCAGGCATATGCTCTTCTCAGCAGACCATTCCCCTGGCACCGGCAGTTGGCACTATCATGTTCTGGTGTGGCACTGTTGGATAAGCACTGGACTGCCACCTGAGAGGTTGGCAGTTCAAACCCACCAGCCACTGCTTGGAAAGCCTATACAAGGTTGTTATGAGTTGGAACTGACTCAACGGTACTTGACCCAACAACCGCATTGTCAGGCCAGATGAAGGAGGTTGTATAGTCCTGGTTTTTAGTGCCTATGACTGGAACATACTACCCATCTTTGACCCATTTGGTTCAAGTAATCTTCTGCCTAAATGTTAATATTTATCATTTACAGCCAGCCACTGAACCCTTTCAAAGGTGAAAACAATAAAATTTATGACAGGTGCACTATCAGACTCCTGAGGAGCCTATAAAAGCCAGAAGAAGTACGAAAGCCTGTCCATCTGCTGAATCACTTCACCCAGAAGCCAGAGACATCGGGAGGATTCTGGCATGGGACTGCAACCAAGCATTTTCCTCCTGGGGCTGCTGCTACTGCTTCTGGAGCAAGGTAAGTGGGCCTTTTGCTCAGAGGACAACTGGTGACCCAGCCCCGCTGGTATCCCAGATTACTTGGGCAAAATGTTTGAGATATGCATCCCTTGGAGGATGTGTAGCTGATAAAGCTCACAATGCAGAGTTAGAACATTAGGAGGCTGGCTTGCCTCATGTTGAATGGAATATAAGGAATGTCTACAGGATGACTTGAAGTTCAAATGTTCCATTGACTTTGGGGTAAGTGGCGTGTATTGGAATAGGTGAGTAGTATAGCTGACTGTGTCATGGTGAAAAAACAGATGTCATTATGCACAATTGCACAAATTAATATCATCAGGTGTTTAGCTTCTTTTTTCAAGTATTTTATTTTGTTGTTGTTGAAAATATGTGCAGCAAAGCATACACCAACTCAACAATTTTTACATGTATAATTCAGTGATGTTGATTCCTTTCTCATTGTGTCATCATTTTCAAGTTTTTCTCCTTTTTAAAATTATTCCTCCTCAATTAACATAAACTCACTGCCCATTAAGTGTTTGGTTTCTTTACTGGACGGACAGAAATATTACAAGGGTTAGTACAAGATATGAGCAGGCCTTTGGATATAAAAATTTTGACTACTGTTTGGAAGGATCTAGCTGAACTTTAATAGATTCTGCTCCAATTATTTTTCTTATGTTGGTGGAATTTTTGGCTCATAGACAATCAAGTACAGTGCCAAGACCTTTTTCTGGGAATTTGTATCAAATATAATACAGAAGTAAGAGGTATATCCAGAGCAGATACAGCTTGATTATAAATAGTGGAATCTCTGGAACTTGAAATCGTTCCTCTGGTGTCCATTCACTATAAGAATTCAGTTTCAAAAATAATTATCTCCCCTGGTGTGGTGCTGTAGGATCAACACTGGACTGTGAACCA